AAGCCGGAGTCGGCATTGGCGGAGGCGGAGGAGGTGAAAGTATGATACCATTGTGTAAAAAAAATCGAAATTGACTTGAGAGTGCTGATTGAAAAACAAAAACATGAGTTTAAAACACATGACAAAGAATCAGAATATAACTCATTCAAACTAATTGTGGACTAAACTAATTAATGACAATTACATGTTGGGGAAAACTCAAATCAATTTCCCCAGGCTTCCTGGATGGAAGCCATCCAAAAACACTGCAGAAACTATGTTATTGAATTTTATTTTTCTGGTTGTATGAATATGCCATGACAGTATGCCTATAGTGCACTTGCATGCAGCATGAACTTACCGTACTTATAATATGAGGGAGAATTACACAGGTAGTCCTTCATCTATGGATAATGTAGCCATTAGGTCTTCAACCTATGTTTCTTGACAATTTGCTCTCAAACTTTTCAATTTTCCAATGAAAAAATAAGATTCTCAATATTCATGCAATACGAGCAGCAATTACAGAAACTCGACAAACTATATCCCTAGAAGTTATAAGACATTAGATAGGATTTGGAGTTGCAGAGAAGATTTGCAATCAAGAAATTTAACCTGCTTTCTTTCCGTGGAATGAAAAATTGTCTACTAAATTACAACGTGTCTTGAAACAAAGCTTACTTTTCTATCAATTAAATGTTCATCAGCACTAAACATTACAAGAAATGACAAAAATCTCAAGCCTATACCAAACCTTTCGGCACAAATCAAGCTTCAAGACATAGATAGTCCATGAGTATTTACACAAAGAAACTAACTACTGCAGTCAATCAAACGTGTGTTTGATGGTTTAACATCCAATGGTGCGAGAAAATTTATGCTAATTCAGAAGCACGGTTTGCATGTCAAAGTGCAGACCCGTGGTTGGAACTAATTTGGTGTCATCTTGAAGTATTATCGTTTTTATCAATGCGAGCTGAGGCGATGCCGAACGCATACTCGATGAGTTTTTGTTTTGGTGGAGCAACCGCCCTTTACAATCACGAGCAAAATCACTTCCTTATCTCTGGCGTCTTCGGACCACCAGCTTTGTGGAATCCCATCAACAAGATCGTCCAGTTTATGGAACTCTTCGTGACGTATAGATATCTCAGCAACTTCATCAGGTATTATCATGCCAGCTGCAGGTTTGACCTAATCCAAAAGCAGGCTTGATATTTACATGGATGAAACTTGTAAATTCATTGCTTTAAGTAGGCTTAATATTGACACAAATAAATCTTGCAATAAGGAATCAGAGACTACCTCGAGCCAACGTGGGAAACCGAGTGAACCTCTGGGGCAATAATCAGATGCTAGTGTGTCTTTTATGGTGGACTGACCTTCACACATGATATGGAAAAAAGCCTTGTCTTCTCCACTTTTGTTGGTGATCTTCAAACTGTAATTGTCTTGGTTCTGGAGCACTATTTGATCTGTATTAATAGTTGTTTCTGGCACGAAGCATAGTGCTTCAAGGAAAGCCCTGATTTCGTCATTGGACTTGAGTATTTTCCCAAACTCTTGTCTCCTGACTGATCTGTCAACGTGGGCAATGTCCACATTTAACTTGCAGCGTACGGGTTTATGATCACTTTCAGTCACATCCATGCGACCCTCGTATCTGTGATATTGTAGAATGAAAGGCATAAATACAAAATTACAGAACAAAAGACAAGAAAAAAAAAAATCATGGCACTCACTGTACTACGGAAGCAACTACAGGGCACTCTACGCTGCATCCTTCTGTTTGAGTTCCCCGATTATCTCGATATAGTACTCTATCACACCAAGCAGGAATTCGTTTCTTCTCACCCGAATCATAGCCTATACATAAGCAAGTATTTTTGTATTTAGTACTTTGAATCTGTTAAACAATCCAAAGAAATAAAGAAAAGGAAAAATGAAGCTAGAGTTTCATTAATTCTGCATAATGCAACTGAATACAAAAGAATAATTTAACTTAGAAACAAAAAGACTATACCAACACATTCGAAATCTGTGGTTGAGAGTTGAAGAGGAGACGATGGAGATGGATTGGGGATTTGAGTCGGATGAGGTTTCTCGAAGAGGAAATCACCGTTCTTGAGGAGTTGGGGAAGGTTTTGGTTCTTGGGATTTTCTCTTCGGAGATTCACCTCTTTGATTTGGGATTTCTATTTTGGGTGTGTTTCGGTTTTGATGTTTTGGAAGTAATCGATACGGTAATAATAGTTTCAATTAGTTTTAGAGTATTAATCTAATATTTAGATTTTTTGAGGTAGTCAGCCTAATTTCCCCAATATTCAAATTCAACATTCTGCCAAATTACAATGTCACCAACAGGACCATTACCCATTGCAAGCCCATTAACCTTTCATTCCCCGCTAAGAGGAAATTACAAAAAACCAGTGGTTTAAACTTTCAAATTCAAAATTCAGGTCCAAGATTTATCTAATCAAAAATCAGGTATAAATTAAATATTTAAATAATATTATAATACTAATTTTTCAAACCCTAATTCATTTTCAATCCATATTTTCTCTCTCTCTCTCTCTCCATTTCTCTTGCCGCCCTCTTCCTCACTGCCGCCGCAGCGCCGCGCCTCCCTCTCTCCTCCCCTCCCCCCCTCCNAGTGGGTTGTAATGAATATTCTGCATTTCTGTGGGCGTTCACTAACATTAACATAAACAAAAGAAAGGTTGGGAAACTTGTAGTTCAATTTGATATGACTTCAAACACAACACCCAATCCGCTATATACTATAGCATTCGTATTAACAGGAGATTTATAGAGCACTGAACAAGGAACCCTCTTCTTCTGCATCCAGTTTTTTTCTTCTCAACGTCACTCATTACCAACTTAACCGGATCCTGCTTAACTTTGTGTTTAATTGCACTGGCTTTCTGGTCCTTAACAGGAGGCAAGGAAAAACCAGTTTCTGATTCTATGATAACACTTGAGTTTGAAGGCACGGATTCATCAATTTTTGCAGAGAATGATGGCTCTCTATGTTGCTTCTCACTATAAGAATTCAGATCCGAAAAGAAAATAAAAAAAAGGAAAACAAAATTGCTAGCAGGACGAGCGGCTCAAGGCCGCTCGCCGGAACAAAATTCAAGATTAATGTGTTTAAGATCGCAAAGAAACAAAGAAAATGAAAAATGAGACTAGGATTTCATTAATTCTGCATAATGCAACTGAATACAAAAGAATTATTTAACCCAGAAACAAAGAGACTATATATACGCTAAATAAAGGAAATTGAAAAGACTGTTTTACCCTTAATAAACAATAAAATAAAATAACCATATATTTCTTAATAGAATCGATTACTTAAATCCAATATTATGTTATGAATGATTTAACATTACCTCCTAAACCTGGTTTTCCTTTTTCAAACTTGTATGTTGGAGGAAATCTGATGAGTGCCTCTCGCATTCCTTGGAAAACTTTACCAGCTTTCATTTCTGCCCTCAGCTGATCTTTCTCTCGAAGCCAATCAAAGCATCGTTGGGAAACAAAATCCCTTGCTTCATCATAAGTTATGCCAAAAAGTCGATAATTGAAATCACCAGTGAAGATGACCAGATCAGCTTCAGCAAGATCAGGCTTCCCTTCATCAGGTTTAATAGGAACAGCCTATGCAAAAAGGACCATCCTTACTCAAATTAAGAAAATGAAATGAAAATGCCTAACTCAGTTACAAATTATAGTATACATACATTTGTACCACGAAGCATCTGTGAAGAAGTCGAGACGCCAGCTGCAATAGAGAGGATCCATGGGAAGCCAGAAGAATAAAGTAGCCAGAATAAATATGTGGAGAGGACAAGAGAGCAAGAGAAGAACAGGTATGGCAGCATACCAGCAGCATTTTGAAGGAGGTTAGTCGAGCGAGTGAAAGTCATTGTTCGAAATATATGATTGAAATCAGCATTCCTGCGATTAACAGCTTCCAAATGTGCAGCAAAGTGGCAATTTACAAAACACATTATTCGATCATATACTCTCAACCTCAAACCTACACCACCCTGCATGTGAAATTATCCGATCATATTGCTGAAACCCACAATATTGATGAAATTTAAGAATGATCAGATAAATGGGACTATAACGGTTATGGCACAATGACATTATTGGACATTATAAAGCTTTAAGCATAATTTAGCTGAATAGCAGCATATTCATAATGAACGCTTCTATAGTATCGATAATGAGAAATGCTTATGTTCGATAATATATATTACCTTATTACCAATTGCACGCCCTAAACCACATGCAACTGCTCCAACATCCAGGTCCCCTACGTGTGTTCTAAGAGTCTTTCTCACCCTGGGAAAAAGGGAATCAACGAACAATCAATAAAACAAAATGTAATTTATTTGAATCCCGTTAGCGGAAATATATTGGTAGCTGGAAAAAAAAAAATTTTAGACTTTATATCATATGGTATGATTTGCTACCAAAAACTAATTGAAAATGGATGCTTCCAATATAAACCTTACCAGATAGCTATGAGTAAGGCAGCGAGTTGCCTGGACCCTGTGCGCTCAAAAGTTGACCCTTCACCCAAAGCCTTGCCAATATGGTCCTGCCACCATTGCCCGATAGAACTTCCTTCAAGTCCTACCTACAATGGATTGCAACAGCTTTAAGAAAGCACAATAAACGAATAATAGAAAATCGTCAGCATCCCAATATTTAAGTATGTAATACGTATAGGAAGTCTACTGACAGCTTACAGTTTCTTTTGCTGCAGACATTGCAAGGAAGCCTGCACCCATTTCCACTTCTTGTAACCCAACAACAACAATGTCAACATCTTTTACGGCAGAACCTAACCATGACATAAGAGCATCATGAGTGGCTCTTCCTTGACCAACATTCCATGTGCCTACCAAAATTTTGATGTTCTTAAATCTCATGTACGTGTCTTTTCTCTCGGCTAAAGCGGGCCCTAAAATGCTATCAATAGGTCCGGGAGAAGAGATGTTCCAACCACGTATACCGCCATGAGATGCCAAGCTGAAAATGTAACCATTTCCAATTACTAATTTTACAACAGGTCCATTGTGAGCAACCCAACCGGCAATTAAATTTCCTTCAAGATCCAACACTTGAACCATGCCACTTGCATAGCCAACCCATATTCTTGAACCATAAGTGCAAAAGCATAGAACACTATTGGAAAGACGATTCATATCTCGCAAGCGATTTCCGTTTCCATCCCATTGGACTAAAAGTCCATTCGAGCATCCACTCCAAATCATTCCATCTTCAGCAAGCATTAATGCTTCTGTTCTTTTAGTATCTTCCACGAAAGCCCCCGCGCCCCTTGTTGCAACTCGACGGACAGCATCTGCAGCACCCATTATAGCATTTCGTGACCTCTGCAGAAAACTATTTTGGGATTTCTCCTTTTTAGATTTGGCAACAAACTTAACATTCATCTCATCTTCAACTGCTAGTTCTTGAACTGATGACATGTCAACACGGTTCTCAATCTGTCCATCTATATTAAATACTTTCAGAAGTTCCCTTGTACGGGCATCCCTGTATTTTCTCAACTATTAGGATAATTCGCAATAAATAGTAAAGTGATCTAATATTTTAATTTTCAAAAGCCAAGTAAATAGGAAGAAAATAAGTTTTCAAGCATTTAATCAACTTTGTACAAGTGCTACAGTATATCAATGTGTGGAGACTACGTGAAGCGACAAACGTACCACAACGAGAAGGATAAAGATCCAGCTGCCCAAATTTTGGCTCTGACATTATCAGACAAGAGACGCTTAACATCCGAAGATGAAATATTACAAACACCATTAACAGTAACTTGGCTTCTGAGGTCAATAGACGACCGTTCTACCAATAAAGCAGCCATGCGTCTTTCCGCTGCTGACAGCGATAGAGATTTTTCGATAGATTCCCACGGCCAGACCTTTATAAATCCACCCTCGGAACCTGTCCATAGATCACCTGGATCCAGGCCATAAAATTGCAGATGGCGACAGTATAGTTAAATATTTCGGAAGATGTTAGTAGATATGATATGAAAATAATGCAGCAACATTTTCATTGTGCATAGACTGAATAATAAAAAAACATACGCCGAGGTAAAAAGGAGTTACCATAAGAAGAAATTGCCAAGGAAAGCACTGGACCTCGATGTGCCTGCCAAGAGAGGCCTTCCTTGAAAGGAGTATCAGTCGAATATGTTTGGTCCATTTTCCAGGACCTTATCTTACCATCCTTGTGAGCGCTCCAAATTAACTTGCTCCCAAGATCGACCTTCATACATATAGTTGGTGATGTATTAACTGCTTCGTAAAATGGAGCAGCATCCTCGTCCCCTCTCCGAGCCCTTCCCCCTTCCCCCATCCCAGGTAAGTATGCATCTGATAAATTCCACACTCTAACTCCGGATTCTTGTCCTGCCCACAATTGCGTTTCAGTACAAACTATTGTCCTCAAAAACTTTCCTCCCTGAAAAAGGTTAATGGATTCTATTTCATTTCCTGAAGGAGATATGATTAATGGAAAAGTTGAAGAACGCTAAGCATCACAAGCTATACTTCTTGAGAACTAGTTGAGCAAAATGATGTCATATCCTATTAGACAAAATGCTACAAAGTATATTATAATCTAAAATTTTTATCACACCTAGTGAAAAAAGGATTAAGAACATACGGATCAAACATTCGCGCACTGCATAAGAAAACCATGGACATAGGCGAATGGCATGTTCTCCCTGGTCTGAATAGGTAGGTTAATTCCTTCCTTAGAACCGTGCTTGAGAGATTCCTAACTCATACGGCTCAGCAATCATTTGGTGTCCACCTTTAATCTACCATATCTAACGAATGAAATTTCTGGTGGGTCTATCCCATTTTATCTACCACTTAATGCCAATTCTTTCCATAACAAAGTAATGACCCCAAGATATATACATGTCCTACACAAAAGGATGCTTCATTATCTAGCTCAAATAATGTTCATAAATTAAGATCCATTCACACACGTGTGCACACACAAAAGACAGTAATCGACTTTCAACAATGTAAGAATATTAAAAAATTTAAGGTATTGAATAGAAACACAAGCAGGAAAGAAAATTCTACCATTGCATTGAAATTTCAGTTATTCGACATTAAATCATGCACACATATACAGTGGCAGAGCCATGTGTTTATATGCACCAAGCCTTTTGATTTTATTTATCCTACCTGTGTTTCTTTTAGAGGGTGAGGCCTGAGCTCAAGACACGACGGCCGCGCAGGGTGCACCGCCGCCCTGGTGGGTACCTTAAATATCCCAACTCCACCACCAGCCCCCATANCCCTGGTGGGCACCTTAAATATCCCAACTCCACCACCAGCCCCCATAACCTCCGGCAATGGCAGCTGAGGCAGACCCTGAGATTCATCCAATGTACCACCATCACCCAATCCCAAACCATTAATTTTCTGGCTCAAATTAAGGTGGTAATCCTCATGGTGATCGCTCATCGATCCGCTCGCAATTCCCATTCCGCCGACACCACCACCACTGGCGGTGATGTTAATGCTAGTAGTAGTATAATATGGATAAAGGTCTTCTTCATCAGAAGAATAAACATTGCTGGGTTGGCTGCTCAAAATTTCAGTTTCGTCAAGGCTGTGTTTGCGTAACTGTTGGCGCTTATAGCTGGTGCCTGATTCGGTTCTCAACTGCTGGCTATATGAATTCACCTTCCTATGCGGTGGCGCGTCAGTTAGAGCCGCCAGGGCTGTCCTGTCATCCTCTTCTAAATGTTCGTCCATTGTTTTGGATTATGAATACAATTTTTGCTTAGTTTGTTGATATTCAAGGAAACTGGTCATAAGAGATTCAAGAAAATGAGAGAGAAAAAGTCAAAAATGGGATATGAATCAGAAACTATAGAGAGGGAGAGTTAGATAAAAGAGAAGGAAGTTGTTGGAGAGGCGAAAGATGCTGGCAATGTACGGACAAGAATGTTCAAATTTTGCAAAGGTAAACTGAGTTATGTGTGTGTAATGTTTGTCTCTTTTCTTATGATGTTTCACCGTTTTTAAGGAAAATTTTACTTATGAGTAAACAAGTTACTTTTCTTATCACGTATGAGCTTTAACACTGCCATACCCAATTTAGGACAATGTTTTTATAATGCATTTTTCCAGAAAAAAAATAGTATTAGCCTATTATTAAGCGTGATTTTGGAATCCTTCCGAAATCCTTAACTTATTTTAATGGGAAGATTTAATAAGTAAGAGGTTTAGTTTTACCAATTTCAAATTTAAGCACATATTTGGTATACATTAAAATTTTCATTTTCATTCTTCTACTTATTTTCAACCACACATTCTTCAATAAAATAATATTTTTCATCACATCAATAAGTTTTCCTTCTTTTTCAAACACACATTCTCCATCGATCTACTATTCCAGAGTACATTCTTCCAAAATAATGTAACTCAAACACACTCTAAGAGATTAAGTTTAAAATTTTAAATCTTAGAGTGTTTTTAATTTTATTTATAAATAAATTAATTAAATATATTAAGATCACAATTTCATATAATTTGGTCACAAATCACAATTTTCATATGTCACAAATTATTTTACAGTCACAATTCAAAAAATTTATAGGTCACAATTTGGTCATCGGTCACAAATCGAAAATTAATACATCACAATTTATCCATCGGTTACAAATTTATCAAATTAATTAGTCACATATTATTCATTGGTTACAAATCACAAATTTTATGTCTCAAATTATTTTAACGTCGCAATTCAAAAATTTTATAGGTCATAATTTGTTCATCGATCACAAATAAAAAATTTATGCGTCACAATTTATTAATCGGTCACAAATCACAAATATTATAAGTCACAACTTATTAGATAGTCACTAATTATTAAATTATCGGTCACAAATTAACAATTTTTTTAGGTCACACATTATTTTTTATCACAATTTATCATTTTCATTATTTGAATGTTGTTTATCGGTTACAAAATAATCAATTTAATGGTCATAAACAATCAAAAAATCCGTAACCACCATCAACAGTTGTGACCACAACCTCACCACTGCCACCAACTGAATGGCAACGAAAATCCCGTCGTTGGAACCACCACCTCCCCCCGACAACAAACCATCGTCTAAAAATATTGACATCACCATGACCACCACTACCCACCCACAACCACCGCACCACCACCACCAAAACTAAAACCACATAACCTCCACCACCCCCATCCTACAACCCAAAAAAATTCCCAACCCTACCATCATTGCCTTCGCCGCCACCACAACTATCATCTCCTCTATCTTCATCTCAACCACACTGCAATCACCAACCACACCGCAATCACCACACCACAACTATCATCTCCTCTATCTTCATCTCAACCACACCGCAATCACCAACCCCGCTAAAAAATCCCCAAACAGTCACCGCCACCACGATCACCACCAACTCACCACCATCGCTAACATCACCGTCGCCGCCACCACTACCAACAGCCAAAATCAGCACCACCACAGCCACCACCAACAACCGCAAACACAACAAAAAAAATCCAGAGATAAACATCATTTACACAGCCACACGTTGCACCCAACCACCACAGATCCCACACAGCACCACCACCGCACACCACCACCAACACCATTTACATAGCCACACGTCGTGGCAGAAAGAAAATGGAGAAGGGGAGAAGGGAGAGAAAGAGAGAGAGCAGCGGCAACACAGGTGCGCGAACGTTGCGACACCGCGCGATATACTGGTTGGTCGCCGGAGCAAGAGTAGGCTTTCTTTTACCTGTTGATGTCGAAGTCGTCGACGGGAGAGTGGGATAGGGAAGGAAGATTGGGTAATGATCTGGGATTTTGAGATTTTTAGGGTTTAGGTAGTATTAAAGATTTGAATTAATATCTGATTTTTGTATAAATAAATTTTATATCTGATTTTTGAAATTGAATTTTAAAAATTTCTGACTTTGTGTAATTTCCTCTATTTTAAAATCCCCACCAAATATGAGATAAATAAAAAGTTCGAAAGCCCCATCATAATTCTTCCGAATTATTACCCTAACTTCCTGAAAGCTTCTCTATTCCTTTTTTTTTTTTTTTTTTTTCGGTTGTTAAATTCTTTTGAGTTTTACATTGAGTGATTATCATTTATCAATAACTGACATTCCCCCTGGATAGACTTTCGACTGAACTTTGTTACTTTATTTGTAAAGAGTAATGATATTCATAATTAATTGTGATCATTATACAATAAGCCTTTTAATCAAAAGTATATAAAAGATGTCATTCAATTCAAGTCATATTCACATGTTAATCATCAAAACACCAAGTAATCACTAGGTAAGAAAAGATCAATAATCAAGAAAATGAATAATGTATACATACTGTATCATATAGTAATCGAAAACATGTTCCCCCACAAAGTATAACTGTACATTACTAAAAGAACATGTTTCCCCACAAAGTATAATTGTACGAGGACGTGCAGAATGTGAATTGATATTGACTTTGCCATCTTTGGCATAGTTTTGATGCGAATTATCACATCAAGGACTTGCCAACGAACCTTTTCCATCTCCCCAGCTTCTCTCGTCCCTGCAATAAAATTTCGATAACTCTAATTAGATTCCACAATGTACATATAACAATCTAACCCCTACCCTACACAGCCACCCCCTGGCCACAAAATACAAGAAGGGGGGATGCGGACGACAAGCAGCAGGACACGAAACATCACACAAGAATGCAGAGGGAATCAAAAGTTCGACTAATTCATATAAACATTTTTCAAAGTCTTCAAATAACCATGAACAACTTGTTTGTCAAGAACTCAGTATCTAGGCCAGACATGTATCTAGTTTTCCATGTCGAAGCCATACAAATAGCATATTAGTGTCTTAGAATCACCGATTTCTCTTAACCCCCTAAGAGATCACTCTCTAAGTGATCATTGTCCAGTGAAAATGCACAGCTATGCACATGATTGATTACATTTTATGTGTGTATGAAAATTGGGATTGATGGATTGCCCATTATCTAGAAGTTCACTAACTCGGTGAGAAACATGCCACCCAACGATTAATGGTCGAGTATTTGAAACAAAAACCAACATACTTTTAACCTGTAAAATTCATTTTCTTCACACCTTAGTCAAACTAATCAAACATAAAGACTAAAAAGCCAATCCAAGCAAAACGAATCTGCTACAAAAACAAACATTCCCATCAAAAATGAAAAAATAAGGAAATTGGAGCATAAGAGCATTAATTAGAAATATAGTAGGAAAAGAAACAAACTTCATAATCGAATTTAAAGGTGAGAACATGACCATTCTATACCACTAGTAAGGTCTCAATCTGAAGCACAACTTTTTAGCAGCTCTTTTTGGAGAGGGAGCAAGCTGAAGCTCAAGAATGTAAAAACAGTGCAGCAATATGAAAGCTAAAGAGAGGATATAAGTGAATATAATCGGGTCGGCTGCTTGTTCAGCGTGTACACACAACAAATATGTGCACTGGAAGATTATGAGGAAAGAATTGCGAAAGGAACAGACAGTAACCAACCCAGTGGAGAAAAAATGCTAATTCTTATCGAAAATTAAGAAGCTCCAGAAATGATGGAGTCACCCTGCCATTAGTTGGAGAAATTGCCCACATTATCTCGCTTGTGCATCAATCACTAGATAGGAACACCACATGCCCACCCACAAACATATAGTGTCTACACATAAGAATTTTATACTTGCAATCCTTTAATATCATAAGAGAACTATAGCCTCCATTTGTTTCTCATTTTTCATCCATAAAAATGAAAAATATGACCGTTATCCATCACATCAAACCATTAATTTTGAATTTCTATCTCTTGTAATCCTTGATGGGTTAATATGTTTTTATTAAGCCTTCGTTTGTTTCTCATTTTTCATCTATAAAAATGAAAAATATGACCGTTATCCATCACATCAAGCCATCAATTTTGAATTTCTATCTCTTGTGTGGGCCCAATAACAACTATATTTCATTCTCATTCTACAATAATCAATAATGAGAATCAAACGGGGCCATAATAGATAATTTTGGTTACCAAAATCGAAATTAAAACACGTGATGTTAGAATTCAGTAAACCAAGAGATAAACATGCATATATAATTGATTTTTCAATAGATATATCACCTACCCTACGAGGTGCAATAGCCATGTGATTTTCCACAATAGATATTGCTTTGAACCCAACAGGATGGAGCACTTCTTCATAGCTATGAATAGTGAAAATAGTCAGCAGTGCACCAATTTAAACTGAAAATCAGATGAGAAATTTCGTAAAAGATTCGATAAATGTTAAATGAAGATGAAGGCTCATAAAGGTAGCAATTACTCGGGAACTGATACTCTGTATGGAGGCCCACCCTCATGATTATCAATCTGCAAACAACAATGTATATAAAATAAACAAAAAAATACATAAATAAGGAACTAATTACACCATTATATTTTACACTAGGCACCCAATACAGAACAAAACTTGCAGATTATAGTCAATGCTATCACTGTAATATCCACAAATTGAAACTTTAAAGCACATAAATTTATTAACTTATGATACCACCTTGGATTATGAGAGCCTTCATTTTCTACACGTATGGTGCTTGAATAAATTTACTTCTTTCGAGAACATGGAATCAAGGATGAGAATTTGAAAGAGAACAAAAGTCTTTCAATATAACGTCAAGAGTTTCTGTGTGGAGGTGATTGTGTTGGGAAAGCAAAGAAAATATCAAATCGAGAAATTCTCGTGCACTAGCACAGCAAAAATAGTAAATAGGAACATATGAAAAGTAAAAAAGAACAGAAAAATATACTAAGATCTTTTGGCTAACCGGATATATTAGTGTTATAAGCTCCCCATCTGGTTTTAACAATTCTCGAATTTTGTCAGCCCAAACTGATCTCAGATCTGGTTCGATGGCACAAAAGAACCTGAAGATCACATCACAACCTTATCAAGACAAATGGGGCCTTCAAACAGGATAATTTAACTCACCCTAACTCACACTTACGTGTAGTCAAAAATGAGATCAAACAACTCAGCTGGTTTCCAAGTGAAAAAATCAGTCTTTAAGAATGTGAAATGATCTGCATTTGGAGACCTAGAAGACAACTGCCTTGATATACAACAAGTAAAATTTCAAAACAACTTTACATCGACAAAAAAAATCATAATATCAACACAGCAGATAGGCAGCATTTGAGTCTACAGAACCTAATGCATGCTCAACACAAAGTTCCAAACATCTAAACAAAGCAAACTTTTTGTTATAGACCAATGAGATTACTGCACTATGGCAGTGATCAAGTGTATACCTTTCTATATGAACCAGATATCAGTATTCACATGATCAAAACCATAAAATTCATTCAACATATCAAGGTATTGGCATCTTATATGCTACCTAATTACCGTTAGATGCAAGCTTCACCTGAATCAGATATGTTTAACAGAGGCACGACAGACAAGGACGAAAAAGACCTGTTCTGAGTCAATAAAGAAATAGGAGGTGTAATAAAATTTAGATGCAATTTTAAAGTAAACAAGCATTTCCAGTATATTTTAAAATATTAAGGTTGTGATTCAATTTTCAAAAAGCAAAACTAATGAGATATACAAATACATTATGAAAAATTTATTTCAAGCAGCCGTGGTTATGATTCCGATTATGAAAATTAAATGCAAAAAAAAGTTACTAGCGCACAAACACAACATTGAAATCAAAACGTGGCCTGGGAAAATTTGCTTGCTTTACAAACTTGAAGTACCCAAGCCTTTCAAAGAAAATAACTGGAAATATTTTCAGCTGAACTAATATTTATATTGTGCAAAAATTTGATAGGAAAATATTGCATTAAGTTATTCGGTCCTTACACAGTTGAGTTTTTAGCCATGTAGGATTCAAGAGATCTTAGACACAGCTTGGAAGATATCATTCTTCGAGAATTCATTTCTTATTTTTGTTTAGACTTTTAACTGATTAGATAGACAATCCCGTGCTAAATAGAACTGTTACTAACCAAGAACGTGCAGTTCAGTTGTCTATTTAAGTTTGTAACACGAAACTCTCTATCCTCTTATTTTTCCATCTTTAAAAAGTCTTTGAGCTTGGGAAAAAAAAAGCGATGTCGATTACCTCTTTGGCTTTCTGTATGGCATTATCTGATATGTCCACACCTACAACATAGCGTTCACGGCATGCAATTGCCATCACGTCGTAACCCTGCGCATTTCATGATTTCATTTCCCAAGCCAAATATAAAGAAGAAATGGAGAACAAAAGAAAATAAAAAGTGCCAAAACAAGATGGAGCAAAATTACAGTCATAAGGAATATCAATGAAGTAATAACAATGACAAAATACATTATTTTCACGGAAAGTAAATTCTCTTTGTGGTATCCTACATCAAACTCTCAATGTGCCATTGACCATATGGGACTTGAGGTGACAATTTACATGTGACAGTGAGCTAGTAAAACAGTTAAATAGTGGAACGTCATTTGCGGCCAGGGAATTCAAATGAAAATTTGTCGTTTTGTATTTCCAATGTAATAGGTTTGCTAGAAATCTCGTAGGACACAAGATACTTTTTGCCACTAGCAAGTGAACATTCTATCAGCTAAAAAAAATCTGATGGCAAGTTCTTAACTTGACTATGACTTCATTCATTTATCCAACTTTTAAAGATAATGAGCCTTCGTGTATTCTTTTCCCGACTGGATAGCAAATACCATTGTACAGTTCAGCCAGAGGACAACTTTGCAATCTTTACTCTAATTATTTTTTAAAACCAAACTGAAAAAGATAGGGGTCTTTTCTCATGTTAGAAGTTTGTAGTTTGTATAGAAATATAATCACTATTATCTAAAACAGCATTTACTTTTTCTCCATCTTCTATAAATACTTCTGCTGATTACGAAGGAGAAGAAAATCATTATCGTAGAAAGCTTTGTAAACACTGGAGCACGGTATAACCAGTAGGGCACATAGTACAACTCTCCGCCTTCTCTTGCAAACTATTTTTGGAAACCTAACTCATTGAACACTTGTACTATTGCCACAAAAATGTACAACAAGTGTTTTGCAGGGTACAACATGTGAATAAACCGCTTTGGACTCATCATTTCTCCGTCAATTTCACTCTCACTGAAGAAAACCGATTACAACCCAAGAAAATAAAAATGCTAAAAATCATTAACAAGATCAAAAAATCCATATATGCATGCCGAATTTACATTATAATTCTGCAAGTTCAAAATATAATACATAAATGCTTACACTACCACAACCAGGAACGAGAGCCCTGCCCTTTGGAAGAGCAGTGGTGTTGCAAAGATGCACGAGAACTGGGGTGGGCTGCCCCAAATCCCAAGGCGTCAATCCTTGTTCCCAACATTTGTCCCAACCCTCTGTATAAAAATATTCAATTTTGTTACATAAATGAACACGAAAAGATTTTTTCACTTTAATTGCTTTCACTACTCACCAGTGGAGTCTGAGCCCAAGACTCGCCGCAATTTGTCAACCTTGCTAGCATTAGAGTCTGATTTTGTTGTTAATTTGTTGGGTTGTTGGATCATACTTTTCAGGGGTGTTCGAGGACAATAACTTGGGGGAGGACGAAGCACAAATATGTGGGAAAAGAGTTGGAGGAAAGATCGCATTGGAATTGGATTGGGAATATGGAATAGAATAGAAACTAATGAATTAACGTCGATATTTCAATAGTCAATGCAAGTTTTAAGATATTTGGGCCAATGACCATTATAAAGAAAAAAAATACGATAAATTTGAATAGTAATTTTTTTTTGAAGAATATGTGATTAAAAAATATAAAATATTTGAATTTATGTATAAAATATTTTATTAAGTGAATGTATAGTTTAAAATGAGTGAGAATTAAAAAAAAAAAATTTAAAGAAAGACTAACAAAGAGTAGTAAGCATTCAAAGTCTGAGCTTTCAAAATGTTTTTATAAAAGTTTAGTAGGTAGAAAATGTAGTCCATAAGTGATGTCACAACATATGGTATAGTCACATCATAGACAACATATCTCTTGTCCACTATAAATAGAAAAGGGTTATTGGCGTAAAACATCCCTACCTATGACGGGTTGTGTGGAAAACGTCCCTACGTTTGATTTTTTGGTGCAGAACGTCCCTACCTTTGCATTTTCTTGCACAAAACATCATTTTCACCAATTTTTAACATAAAATGATCATTATACCCTTCTATATAAATAAAACAAAAAAGAAAAGAAAAGAAAAATAAAGAATATATTGCAATATGCTCCTCAACTTTTAAAAAAATACAAATTAGTCCAAAAAACTAATTTAATTTCACCCAACATCACACACCCTAATTCTCTCCCTCCATTCTCTCTCCACAACCGGTCGCCTCCCTCCAACCTCCATCCATTCTCTCCCTTCAATGCTTTCCTTTTCTTCAGGTGATATACGTCCATGAAAATCAGTGCTACAATACCAATACCAATACCAATACCAGCCACATCTCCAATTACGATTCCCAGGATTGTTCCAATTCTAAGCCCACTTTTTTTTTTCCTTCTTGTGGATTTGAGGTGGCACTGTTGCCTAGGGAAGCAGTTGCGGGAGTTGAATCTATGGGCTTGGGTATGGCGGCCATTGTTGGAGGTGCAGAAGCATGGAGGTGCAGAACAGCAGAAACCAAAACCTTAACTCCATCAACAAACCCACTAATCTCTTTCACAGAAGTCGTCCCAGTTTCAAATGCATCGATTGGTGCTTTCTCCTCTCCAAATATCGAATTTACAGTAGCACTTTTACCCACTCCAGATTTTCCAAGAACCAAGATGTTCCCATTGAAGTTCGAATCTTCTTTTCCCTCTGCTTCAAGCTCCACAGCCATCCTCTTGGCAGCATCCACACTAAAAATTTGGCCATTCTGCCTTCCTGCAAGAAGTGTAAACCGATACAGAACCTGTGCTGCCATGGATTCTTCTGGAGACAGGCCTAATCTATGAACAAGCCTCAAAAATTTAACTCTGATCTTCTGTAACTTCTCCAGTTTCTTTTTCTCTTCTTCGCTCAAGTTGTTCTCAGATTCTCCCCTCCCAGGCCAGCCGGACGCTCGACAGAGAAAAGCCTAGATCCATCTTGAGAGTTGAGAGGTTATGGTGATACTGCCACCATCTGAATCAGCACATGTTGCAGCTTTCAAAAGAGCTGCCAAGGCAGCTGAATCAAAAAACTCTTTACCATCTCCTTCTTCATTTGTGTCGGCTTCTTCTTCTTTTGAGCCTGTGAAAATTTGACCATCAATTGCTTGGGTTTTGGGAATTCAGGTTTTGAATTTAGGCGGAGATGTCGTGGACTAATTTGTATTTTTTTAAAAGTTGAGGAGCATATTGCAATATATTCTTTATTTTTCTTTTCTTTTCTTTTTTGTTTTATTTATATAGAAGGGTATAATGGTCATTTTATGTTAAAAATTGGTGAAAAGGATGTTTTGCGCAAGAAAATGCAAAGGTAGGGACGTTCTGCATCAAAAAATCAAACGTAGGGACGTTTTCCACACAACCCATCATAGATAGAGATGTTTTGCGCCAATAACCCAAACAAAAAAACATTACCTAGTTTATTGAAAATAATTTGGAAAGTAATATTTTTTTCATTTATAAATATGTGATGATAAAATATTTCAATGCTCAAAGCAAATTATAATGAAATTCAACATGAAAACGATACAAAATAATAGGCAAGTCATATGCACTCATGGAAGGAATCCAAGTTCACGCATTTAAAATACGAGTTGTTTATTTGTTAAGATTATTGAATATTGAGTCAGTCCAATGTCATTGTTTGTTGTCCATATCAACTCATTAAATTGTCTTTCATTTATAACTTAAAGTTGAATTAATGATGAATAATCACGTGCTAAAAAAAATGTCAAATTACATGTGTGCGATGATCGTGACAAAAATGAAAAATAAAAAAAATTGATTGATTATACTACTTAGTTAGCCCCATATTGGTGTAGATCAAAATCATATTTTTAACAGAATTTGATAGTTAGAGATTGCAGAATTGTATTAAAATATTAAGTCAAATGAAAAATTCAATTAATTCCCCTAACACGCCTCGAGAAATACATTTCGACATTTTCAATTTTGCCTTTGCTCGAAAGAGTAAGTTACTATTATAGAGGTAATTCGGTCATTTAGATGAAAATTGCTGAAATGACATGGAAGCCAAAAAGTAAAAAATTCCACTCTCTTCGCCAATCAACTTTAAATTAATCTTTATGGGTTCCACGAAGTTGCATAAAAAAAATGATTTGCTTGAAAAAATCTGCTTCGAACGTAGGTTTAGTTGTGATGGATTGAAACTCATTTGAACATATTAAATTCTTCATTCACCCATTAGATTGAACAATTGCAACTAGAACTATTGATCGATTTAATGCATCCGACCTAGATA